AAATATAATTTCTAAGAGTGCAACAAAAAGCTGCCTTTTAGAAACTCAGGGTTATGAGTCTGACCTGTGTGTAAAATATCTAATTTCTGGTTATATAAAGAAATCTCAGAGGCATCTGTGACAGATGGGAGGAATATTAACCATAAACTGAGGCAAATCTTTATTTCTGCTGCTTTTAAGTTTCCTTTTTTTTTAAAGGAAATTTGGTTTTTGTGGTAGATCAAAGATTAAAAGTTCATTTTCCTTTTGAACAGTCAGTTTTGACCAAAAAAAAAAAAAAGCACACATGTAGCTACAAAAACATTCACATGGACTTTTTGGGAACAAAAATTAAATTAAAATGAGTGGATTTTAATAATTTCCACTATTCTGGAAGGTTGGAGCGTAGATGTATAATGGTAAAAATAATGGTTATCAGGAAATTACAATTGGAATTCCTGTAAAATCACATTTCCATACCTCAGTGGCTGCCTGGGGCAGATTCCCCAAAGATCTGAGGGAGAAAAATGCCAATTTTTTCATCCTTGTGTATGTGATATGTCTGTGGTATTTTGTTTTCTTTTGTATTCCTGTCACTTTTATAAAAGCTGTGGACTGTGGAGCTCTGTGGTTTTTTTTTTTTAATTTGTTTTCTGCCAAATACACTGAGATTTTTGAAAGTATAACTAAAAAAAACTGAAGAAAAAAGTGTGTTTTGTGTCATATTTCTGCTTTAGGTGGCTCTGCTCTCACATAAATCCCATCATTTTAAATTATTTTTTTTAAATCCTAGCAGGATTTTGTTTTTCTGTGACCCTGGGAGGATTTGGGATTGACATTTTAACCCCTCCTGTTCTGCTGGGCTTTGTCTCTTAGTGTATTTTAATTTGCCATATTTTTGGCCTTTGCTTTATGTAGATTAAACAAACCAAAAACCTTTCAAATCTTCTTTTCTCTTGTGTAAACAAGGAGCTTTTTGCTCTTTGTTAAGAATTTTCCACCCCAGCTCTTCCTGTGACAGAAAATTTGATTTTTTGGGAATATTTTAGAGTTTCTGTGCCTGCATTTCTCATGGCCACACCCAGGTGTCTGTGATGAGGGTGATCTCTGTGAGCTGGAGCTGTGCATTTAATTTTTTTTATACTTTTAATTCACTCAGAGTGAATTTTAATAATTGAAATAATTTAAAATATTTAAAATATTTTCTGTTTTTAATTCACGTAAATGTGAATTCCTGATGCGCTGAGGTGCAGGTGGAAGGTGTCACAGCACTCCCCGTGCTTCTAAATTCTCATTATTCCCATTATATCCCGTTATTTCCCATTTTATATCATTATTTCCCATTATATTCTCATATTTCCAATGGGGGATGGATAATTAGTGATTTTAGAGATCCTAATTAGGGATCGTTGCTGTTCTGGGTGTGTCACCTCTGTCACCTCCTCCCTCACACTCTCACTCATTTCCGTGTAGGAATTGCAGCTTTTTGGTTGGAATCCAATTTATTCAATTAAATTTATTCAATGAAATTTAATGTATTCAATCAAACTCTGAACTAATTGATGTGGAATTAAATGCGGCCCAGCGCCTCCATTGGCCGCGTTTATCGCTGCCCAGGCCCATCCCGCAGGTTCATTAACGCCCCCCAGCCCGGCCGTTCTGACGGGCGGGGCTCAATTAACGCCTCATTAACGATTTGCGTTAATTAGGGCGCCGTGAGGCGGCGCT